GAAAGTGTGCAGTCATGAGGTGAAAGGTTTTAGTCCAAATACCAAAATGGCGGCGATCGTTGTCTTGGGAAAGAAAGAATTTGAAATGATGGTGAGAAAACAGCTTTTTAAGTTTTAAATCTCAGTTTCTCGTTTATTGTATATTCAGTTACTAGTGTAGATTTTACAATCGGTCAATAGTTGGAATGACAACTGCTGTCATGTGATTTAGAATGAAGTTATTTCAACTAGCTTTGGCAAAAATTTTCTTTTATTAACAACGTTAACGCAACAAGTGTGGTGGGGGGAGATCGACCAATAGGAACTGCTTGAACTGAGTATTTTTTACGATTTATCAGCATTTAGTTATTTAAAGCTGAAAAAGTATTTTAGATTTGAAGAATAAATCGTATCTTCTTTTTTTTTACGAGTGAATATTGCATTATCAATTTTTTGGGATAACAATGATTTCTTTCCGGATACAAGTCCCCTATTTAATCCATAGATGGGGAGAATTGATGGATTTGGTAAGATGAGATGCCTAGGCGACCCCAGGACAGCAAGTCAAGAAGGGGCTGTTTTATGACACAGCCTATTTTTAATAAGTTTTTGTTGCTAATTGTGTTATAATAAAAATATTTCCTGACAATTTTTACAAAATATAAATTGTCTATAAATTACGCTTTGCTGAAAAGATAATTTAGTTTTTAAGCAAAATATTTTGGCAAATATTGGCCAGGGCAACTCTTCGTACAAAGTCATAACTTGTGGCAAGTGCATCCAAGATGCGAAGTAATTCTTTGAGTCGTAGCTCAGATTCCACAAATATATATAAAAGAGAGAGAGACATTCTGTCTACTTTATTACAGCAGGAAGATATGAAAATGTGATGTGAGGTTTTATCATTTAACTGCTAGCAGTAATATGCAATTACGGAACAGCTGTTGGTGGTATTGGCAATATAGTCAGATTCAGTAGAGTGTCTGACTCGTGAGTGTTAATCTTTAACGTTGTTTCATTGAACAGATTACGTACTGCGCCGTATTCTATATTCATAAACTATGGCAAACATGGTTAACAACAGTATATACTGAAAGCAAGAGAAACAGGTGAAGTAATGTTTTTACCATTTAAGAGAAAAGAAGAAAACTACTTGAGTAAAAGGAAAGAAACGCTCAACTGGGCAGGTTATCGTTGTCAATATGTTTGTCTTAAAGTTATTAAAGTTCCCAAAATCAAATGTAACAGTTTAAAAAAATAGAACAATTTGCGAAAGCAAGTTTTGTTGTATGAAATTCTGAAATGGAGCAAAATCATTGTACGATTTTTAAATACATCCGGTTACCGTTGAACTTTATCTAATTTTCTGCGTTGTATCTAAGGTGAACGGTCTTATATCCAATCGTCAATTAATCTCTGTTCGTTTATTAAACAACACTGTCTTCTTCTGTGAGCCGCGTCCATTCGAGACATGGGCGATCATGGCTCTCCTCATTTCCCTCCCTTATAGCTTTTAGCAATGTTTGTTTTATTTTTTTACTATACTTCCCACTGCTTGTTCTGTCATCCATTTGCACAAGCTCGTCAAGTCAGTTACCTGATGTTTTCCTCTACCCTAACTTATCTTCAACATACCTTTTGAGTGTCAAACTTACCGAGCCCTCATTCCTCATTATGTATCCCAGAAATTTCGACGGCTTCTTTCTGATTCTAATTACCAGTGTTCTATTAATTTCCATTCTGCTTAAATCTTCCACATATTTTGTCCATAGAAGTCTCATTATCCTTCTGTAGAACAACATTTCAATTACCTCTAGTCTCCTCTACATCTGTTTAGGTCGTCCTGGGTATAATGATAAACTACATCCGGCAGCAAGGCCTCTGATCGTGAGGTTGGATGTTTTTGAGGAGCTTGGAACCACCTCTTAATTGATGCTGTTCCCACGTCCTCCCTGACCCGGAGCGAAACAGCTTTTACGGTCCCAGCTCTGGGCTAATAGTATTTTTTTTTTACATTTTTAAAGTAAAAAATACCAGTAATACATTTTCATAGTAAGAAATGTTACCAGTAATACTGGTATGGTAATTTACAAACGTACACATGGACTCTCCCAGTTATAAATAGGAGCAGGTACTGCCTTTTGGAGGGTGAAGTTTCGAGCAGTCAGCTCTGACAGACGGACCGAAAATTCTTGCTGTAACACTCTCGTTTGTACTTGTTTGTACTACTGTTTCTGTTAATATATTTGTTTAATTCGATTCCTCTCTTGTGTCTTTATTCCTGGCCCTAACAAGTCTAACGTAATACCCCTGCCTGTTGCAGTTCAGTCCTGTCTCTCCGGTGGTTCTGGCCGAAAAACGAAACCCACCCGATCTTCATCCGGTGAACTGAAGGAACCACCACTATTCGCCACGTTGTGAATTCTTGATCCGAACAGCAGTGTATCGATCTCCCCAGACCGATCTGATGGGAAGGGGAGGAAATGGCTGGGTATTTCGCTGAAAGGAAATCACTATTCATGCAGCAAAAGTTTCTTGTCGTAGCCGCCAACACATGTAAACGAAAAAAAATAAGCAACTCCTGTTCCTGTACAAAGGGCCCTAGTTAGGCCACTGTTTTTTAGGTCTCTACCGAAGAATTTACACGAGTACAAAATGTCGTAACGAGGTTCACTCGTTTGGGGTCGGAAGTGACACAGAGACAGTAGGAAAATTTCTGCCTAAACAATTTCGGCTGATCTAAGGGAAGTAATTCGTGGATCTTTGTCTGCACCCTACGATATAGCAGTCTGCCTTCTCGCAGCCTTGTTGACGAAGTTATCTGGATTCGTACGGTTTCTATTTCGATCTCTTGACACAGGGCAACCAACAGACCAGACCAGCAAATTCCAACAAGCCGCCTCATCCGCGTTCTGATCTCCGAACTCCGAACCCATCTGACTAACTCAAGCGTGCGGGAAGCTTATATAGAGAGAGGCGGAGCTAAACCATCTTTAGGCACCGCCCCCGAATTTTAATATGCAAATCGCCTGGACCACCATGTTTTTCCGCCTCATCTCCAGATCCCCGCGGGCAACCAGTTTTCAAGCGGTACTAAAATCGGATTCGGACCTCCTGCTGGATCTTCCGCAGACAACGTATACTTAAATTTTGCCAAAACCACTTATCCCGTCTGGTTGAATTCCGCCATTCAGACCACCCAAAAGTCCAATTCGCCATTTATCACAAACTTTACTTTAACGAATTCGTCTCTTAATCACTTTGGAATTATTACATTTAATTAACTAATAACTCAATCCCAGAAACAATTATTAAGAGAAAAAAACAAGGGAAAAAAATAAACTTATTTCTGGAATTACTCCGGAATCTCTTCTACCCAAGTAGCACCTTCATCCTAATTCTTTAGCACTGTTGATTACTAAATCCACCTCCGGGTATGTAAGGGGGGGGGGTCTTTCTCTATATATGTCACACAAGGCCACAACAGTATACACCTAAGCCAATTGAATATCTCTCTATTTTAATCTTTTTTAGTATCTATCTATCTATCTTTCTTTTTTCTTTCTATTTATCTATATATCTATCTATCTTTCTTTTTTCTTTCTATCTATCTATCTATCTATCTATCTAGGCCAATTCAATATCTATCTGTTTATCTATCTATCTATCATGGTAATTTACCCACGCACGCATAGACTCTCCCAGCTCTAAATAGGAACAGGTACTGCCTTTTGAAGGGAGAGGAAATTTTCCAGCAGTCAGCTCTGACAGTCGGACCGGACATTCTGTATATGTTTGTAATTGTTTCTGTTAATATTTTGTTTAACTTTCTCTATATGTTTCACACAAGGCCACAACAGTATACACCTATTGAATATCTCTCTATTTTAATCTTTTTTTAGTTTATCTATTAATTTATCTATATATGTTTCTATCTTCTTTTTCTTTCTATCTATCTATCTATCTATCTATCTAGGCATTTAATATCTATCTGTTTATCTATCTTATCATGGTAATTTACCCACGCACGCATAGACTTCCCAGCTCTAAATAGGACACAGGTACTGCCTTTTTGAAGGAGAGGAAAGTTTCAGCAGTCAGCTCTGAAACCGGACATTCTTGCTGTAACACTCTCGTTTGTATATGTTTGTATTATTGTTTCTGTTAATATATTTGTTTAACTCAATTCCTCTCTTGTGTCTTTATTTCTGGCCACAACAAATACATTTTTGTAAAAGAAGTTAATAAAGCTCACAAGAAAATTAAATTTCCGCATTAAATGTTCCATAACGAGTTGATATGCCGCTAAACAAACATTTAACTGCAGGAATGTATTGTAAATTACTCTACAAATGCATATTTTAAATGTTTCGACCTGATATTTGTTATATTTATGTAATGGGAACGGTGAGATTAACTGTTTCCTGGCAGGAAATAGCGGGCGTACATTGACGGAACAGTGAAGGTTGAAATTTATAAAATCTTTTTATTTAAACAATTTTTGGTAGTGTGGAAAGGTAACATCTTGATTACATTATTATTTTCCTTCTAGTTACATGTTCAGTGAATGTTTATATCTGTTGCTGTTTGAAATCTTCATTCTTCTATTACTATCAGCGGAGACAAATTCAAGTCAGGTATTCTAATTTTATGAACTTGCACCAGAAGAGATGTTTAACTGTCGGACTTATTACATTTCATAATATCTGTTGTCATTTGTTTACGTCAAGATACGCGTCGAGCAGATATGATCGTTCGACAAAAGTCATGGGAAATTTGTTGCTTAAAAACAGTAATTTGACTTTGCTGTAGGTAAATGGTATATCACCTCAGGCTAAATGACAGCTCCGTGTAGGATACAGTTTCGATTCATATTTTTCTATGAAAACATATTTTCTATGAAATTTCTCGGACATTTGAACATTAGGACTTCAGGAAGCCCTAAAGAACGAATCGCGTCACATAAAAACTTTCAATTTGTCACATATATATATATATATATATATATATATATATATATATATATATATATATATATATATATATATATGCGCGTGTGTGTGTATTATAAGATTTAACTAAGTAGATACATTTGCCCTTTTTCAGTACTGTCGTTCGTGATTTTATCTGGATAGGGTTTTGGCAAGTTTTCTCTTGATTCTATTAACGGTTCTTCATTTTCTTTATATATATATATATATATATATATATATATATATATATATATATATATATGTATATATAAATAAAAAGAAAGAAAAATGAAATTATGATGAAAAGCTAGAAGATGTAAGTAATTGAATGACCCATGGCCTTGGTACATACATGAGAAACTATTACTAAGTTTTAAAAAAAATAATAATAAATAAATAAATAAAGTTTATTAAACCAGAGAAATGTATAAGCTATTTTGCCGTAATTGGCAGAAATTTTACTTAAATAATATTTAAATATAAAATTTTAAAAATAGTAATATACATACTTATACTTGATGTGGAAAAATAATTTTATTTACTGTAAGTAATTCTAATACATTTACTTCTTTTAAAAAGAAATATAGTCTATTAAAACTAACAGTGAAAATATTTTAAAGTATTTAAAATTGTAGTTAAATAAAACGTATTCTAACCTAAACACCTCCCTCAAAGTACTACAAGGACTTAAAACACCTACAGTTAAATGAAATTAATATGAAAAGCTAGAAGATAAAATTTTACTAAATCAGTGAAATTAATTAGCTATTTTTGCCGTCATTGTCATAAATTTTACTTAAATAATATTTAAATATAAATTTAGAAAAAAATTGTCATATGCATACTTATACTTGATTTAAAAATAATTCTACATACTGTAACTGATTCTAATACATTTACTTGTTCTTAAAAAAATATAGTATATTAAAAATTAAAAGTGAAAATATTTTTCAAATCATAGTTAAATTAAACGTATTCTAACCTAAACACCCACCAAAAATCTTTAAATATACAAATAGAAAAAAAATGCCGTAAGAATTTTTGCCGTTAACAATAAAATTCTTTAAAAAAATCCAGACGACATGCATTTAACGGATGTCAGATTTCATTGAAAAATACATCCGTACCCCCTACCAAAACTTAACTAATAACTGATACATCTAAATACAGCGATAATGAACACGCAAACACCCCTTGTCTGGTTGAATTGGATTTCTCTGTATCCTTGGAAACGTGAATTATGATTTTAGCTGTGTCTTTAAAACCCAGTAATTTTAAAAGTTACTCCAAAATTCGCTTCAGGATGAAATGGAACTAATGTCTTGAATTTAATTACAAAATTAAATTCGAAACTTTCAGCTTCCATTTTTGAAACATGGTTAGAACTGTGTAGCGAAAAAACCCTATTTTAAATCAATTAATTTATAATATATATATATATATATATTCAAATAAAAAGAACCAAAAAGATGTATAAATTTTATTATATTTTTCCAACCTTCGAATAATGTGTTGAGTATTGGGCATTAAATGTCTAATGTAAAAAAATTATGAAAGCTAAAAAAAAAAAATGGAAATCCTAATACAGAATTTATACATTTGAATGTTTCAATGAGACGAAAGGTAAGAGGCGGGGGTCAGTGGAGGATGTAAGGTAATTTGTCTTAAAGGGAACCCTATTTTTTAAGCTTTCACAGTTAAATTTCTATTTCTGAGACAAACTCAGTCCACACCGGGGTTGATAAGAGAGACGACCAATAGCTTCGTCTGCCGAAATAAGCTATTCCCCACATGAAGTGATTTTATGATTATATATATATATATATATATAATCATACAATAGGAAATAAGATTAGATGATGATCATTATCACCTTGTAAATTGAGATATATGTCATTCGAAGACAGTTCTGTTTTGCTGTATCACAGCTCCTCAGTGCGACATGACATCCGAATGCCTCAGGCCAGAATCGAAACCCGACCGATATGGTGTCCGTCATAATTTCTACCACTGAGCTATCATCATTGGGCAGAGAGAAACAGCTAATTCTAGCTTATTCCTTTTACGAATGTAAACAAACGCCAATCAGCCAAAGGACTCTATTTTATTTTTATTTTACTTATATATATATATATATATATATATATATATATATATATATATATATATATATATATATATATATATATATATATATATATATATATATATATATAAATATATATGTGTGTGTGTGTGTGAATATAAATATAAATAAAATATATATATATATGTATAATTATTTATATATTATATGCGGTACTTACATAAACCCAAATTTTTTAAAACAATCTACATAAACCCAAATTTTTAAAAACATTAATCAGTTTGTCTGACGATCGCTAAAGCGTGAAACCCAGGGTCACAAACTCACATCTATCAACCAAATATATATATATATATATATATATATATATATATATATATATATGTGTATATCTATGTATATATATATATATATCTATATGTATATATATATATATATGTGTGTATATAGATATATATACAG